ATTTTAAGGAAACTTTAGTTTTTATTTTTAAAATAAGGTAATTTTTAGTTTTATTCACTTATAAATAATGTATATTTTATAACTAATCATACATACATTATACTAGGGTAAAAATTAAATTTACTTAGTTTAACTACACTTACTTTTTCTGATTGGTTTTCATTCATTTTTATTGTATCTGTTCATACTTTATATTAAAATAATTTTGTGAATATGATCATGATCTAGAATGACCAACACCTATTAAATCACATTGAACGGTAATTATTTTTTTTCAAACTTTTTAAATCTCTAAAATATTAAGTGGCCACTAAACTGTCTGCTGTGATTTCTTCTTAGACCATGGTGTTCCGTTCTCTTACAATATACACTCTTAGCCACACCTTAGTCTATAGAGAATGTTAAAGTATATAGAAAAATAATAGTTTCTATTTTTAAAATATTATTTAATATTCTTTAAGCATTCAACATGATCTTCCTTTAGCATAAATATGTTCATTTTCCCTCAAGGTCTTTGTCAGCCCCGCATGCCTGGGGTCGTGGGAGCAGAGCCGTTCTCAGCTAAACTACGCTACACGGGCCCTGAGGACCCGGACCACACAAACCTTATCAAGCTCACTGTCACGATGCCACACATAGATGGTAGGTGACTTGGGTAAGCAAATCCGCGGAAGGGTTCTGGGCTCCTCATTACCTGGTTTATTTTACTTAATCTTCTAGACAACTAAGCTTTAAAAAGTGTTCAACTTGGAACTTGACCTTCAAGTCCTGCTTCTTTCGACGGTTTCTGATTTGTTCTACCCAGTTTTTAAAAGTCTGGCAATTTAAAAATTCTTTATTTTAATAAAATTACGTAATACATGTCCAAACACAATAAAACAAAACTTTGACTAATATGCTGGCTTTTATGAAAGAGTACAAATGCATCTTCAAATGCGAACTTGAAGTTCTAGTAAAACATTCTGATATCTTGATGCTTACCTTCAGTATGTATTTGCTATTTCATAACTGGAGTTTTGTAAGTCTCTCTTAATATTTATTGTAAAACTAAGATATTTTCTAGACAGTAAAATAAAATAAAAAAAAATGAAACTAACAAGTACTATATTTTGCCTTCATTTTCTCTGTATAGGGGGCTATGACCAGAATGTGTGAGTCGATAAACTTCATCCACACATTTCCCCATGTACAGAAGGCATTTCAAGTTTTTTTCCACTCAATTTACTTTATAATTGAAGGAAATTGTTAGTATTAACTTTATTACTTGGTATGCTACTTATATTTACATAGGTAAGGGAGAAGAAACATCAGGCAATGTCAGGAACTACAAGGTAGAATTTACCTCCCTCAAAACAAGGACATCTTGCTTTATCTGCTTATGATAACCCCAAATTCATCCTGAGTTGGGGGGAGTAGGCAGACAGGAATCTGCATCTCCTCACTTTACAGTGTAATGTTGGTTTCCATGACCACCGTATCTCTAGGTTTGTGTGGAGATGAGACTTGAGCTTCAAAGGGCTGAGAAGGGACCCATTAGGGAAAAACGGACCTGTAATAGTTCTTTCCTAATAAAAATAGTGGTTGGTCCCCTGTGCCACTCTTAGGGCTTGACTTCACATTTTCTGGAACATTCAATAGCCACAGCTCTGCCAGAAGCATGGAGGAGGCTGACCAGTTCTTTTATGGGGCCAGAGTTTTGCTCTGGGAGAATCAGAGAGGGAGTGTGGGAAAGGCTCGGAGAGAAGACCTCTTCCATAGTCTTTTGCTGCACTTCATATGCTGGGGATTAGCAAACTATGGCCTGTGGCCAAATCCATCCTGCTGCCTGTTTTCATATGGTCTGCAAGCTATGAATGGTCTTTACATTTATAAGTGTTTGGGGGGAAAAACAAGAAGGCTATGAGACATGATAATTACATGAAATTCAAATCCATTGCCCATAATAAAGTTTTATTGCACACAGTTATGTTCATTCCTTTGCATAGTGGTGGCATTAGCTCCACAATGGCGGCATTGAAAAGTTTCAACAGAGACCTCAAGGCCCACAAATCTCCTAAAATATTTACTATTTGGCCCTTTACAGAAGTTCACCTATCCTTAGCCTATGCTGTATAATGGTGATTTTCAATTTTTTTTTTTTTTTTATCTCAGGACATCTTAAAAATTCTTGAAGATCTCAAAGACATTTTGTTTTTGTGGGTGATATCTATAAATGTTTATTAGATTTAAAACTAAAACAGAGGAATTGTTAAATATTCATTCATTTA